TTAAAATGATATAATTTTTTTTTGTTTTAGTATTTTGAAGTTGACCAATTGTTACTATAAGCAATTAATGATTATAGGTGATCTGTGCCGTAGTCTTCTTATTTCTGCAACTCTAGCACGAATTCTTTATTGCTCTCTTGCTCTTATTCTTTGATGATTTGGCATTTTTTATTGGAATTTATTTGTTCAATTGCTAAAAAATGATCGTCATTCGTGTAACAATATACACAGTATTAACATTCATTATAATTTAGATATATAAATGTTTACACATAGCATTAACATATTTTACATTATGTGTAGACATCTTTGTGATCTAATTTTGTTTATAAAAAGACATTATCTTTATTTCTTAAAAGGTATTGATGAATTGGTTTCTGATTTCTATATATTTTATTCTGATAAAGTCATTGATCCTCTTAGCCCTCAAGATTTAGGATTTCTTATTAGAATGTTTTGTGTAAAATTGCTTCATAGGAGGGTTGGAGATCGAATTCATGGGTGGTATCAGATTTAATATGATGATCTAAAGGCTTCTCTATTTAGGATTAGTGATAGTATTCATATTGAAATTTCAATTTAGACTTATAAATATTTAGATTAATACTTCTGAAAAAAAATATATTAAAACATGTGTGAAAATATTAAATTTAGCAACTTAACCCTTGCCCTTTGTGTATATTCAATTAAACTTAGTGTGAAGGACCTTGATTATAAAACCCTTGGTGAACAACTTGACCCTAATAAAGATATTGTAGCTATTAATAGCAATTTCATTCACAAGACTTATGAAGGTTTTGAGAACTTTATTACTCAATCCAAGAAGTTAACAGCTAAAAAGAAAAAATTGATGACAATACCTACTTTCAAGGAACAAAAAAAAGTTGGTGATGGGTCTTGTTTTCAATCTTGCCATATTAATTGATTCAAAGAATTATAGAATGTGCTATTTTCCTAAAAGTGGAGATTTACAAGTATTTGGGGTCATTGATGAAGACTATCAATCTGGTGAAATTGCTGTTCAAACCTTCATTAACTATCTAATGGACTTACTGAGTTTGAAACAGCTGAAATAATTAAAAGTAATCTTTCATTATTAAACTTTAAGTATCATATGATATTACCTTCTAATTTACTCATTGATATTTCAAAGCTTGATTCTATTCTTGCTGGTGATTTGTATCCACCTCCATTTAAAATCATCTTTAGAGCTGATGCCATTGAATCTATTAGAAAGCTTTCAATTATATTTGAATCTAATGGAAAGAAAACTCGAGTTATTATTTGGCCTAGTGGGAAGATAAATATAATGTCTGCAACTTCATATGATGATGCTTTCAAAATCTATAACTTCTTGGGGGTGAAATTTTCGAATATGAAGCTTCAAATCTATTTGTAATTGTTCCTACTCATGATCCTCCTCAGCCTAAAACTCCTGGTAGAAAAGGATGAAAAAAATATTAATAATTATGAGGACTAATTGTTTTAGATATAATTTCAATCTTGATTGATTTCAGATTCAATTTTTTCAATTTCCTTTATAAAATTATTGATTCTAGCAGTAGTGTAATACTTGCTCTCAGGATTTAAAATTTGGTTCTTTATTTCATTGTATTTTGGGATAATGCACCTTCTTCAATCTGGAACCTTTTCTCCCTTATTTTTAGCATATTTCCCAGATGAAATAGCTTTAGCTCTTGGTCTCTTTTGAGTAGTTAACTTTGGTGTTTTCATATACTTAATCACTTTTCTGAACTCTACTAGATCTCCTGCCTTGAACAGGTCTTTGCTGTCATCTAGATAAGAAATTGCTTTAACAATATAGTTAAAAGTTTGGGTAATATAAGATAACATTTTTGTTTTATTTTTATATAGATCACTGAAATGTTTAATTTGAAAATTTTATTAATTTATAGTTTTGCTAACTAATGAAAATTTTTTCTTGGATTACATCACATAGTAAATTGATATTAAATCAACACCTACAGGTCCTTGTGGATATACATGATATAAAAAAATAATGATATCGAAATTCATGAAATAGGCTTCTGGAACACCTTGTGGCTATAAACTTGATAAATTGTCTCTGAAAAAACGAGTTTTGTCCTAGAAACCCTACATTTATACAACATCCTTGTACATTCCCAAATGTAGATCAATCTTTCTGCCTTGCTTTCCTAACCAATAAGCATATAGTGTAACAAAAGAGTTGCTCACTTTCACAATCCTGGGTATTTATTGATTGGGAAACAGAATGTTATGGGTGTACAAAGTAGTTTGGGATTTGGGATTTTTTAACAGGCTGGCCCAAATTCACTTTGTACATTTGGGATCTGGGTAGCACATATAATGGGGGAGGAATGCAGTTAAAATATCTTCACAAGTTATGAAAAGGGTTAGATTGTCTATTATATCAAGAAGTTTACAAAACAAGACTACAACTGTTGGTGGATGAAATTAACAAATAACAAAGTCAAGAACAGAAGTTAGAAAAAAAGCACCAGTCAATGGAATAATACAAGAAGTAGGACTTTTTTTACTAAAAAATAAGATATATATAAAAACAGATGAGAAATTTTAAAGTCTCAGAAAAGGAAGTAAAGTTAGATTATTGATGAAAAGAAAACCAAATAATACAATATCTTATAAAAATGGCTTTGTTCTTAACTCCCTTTCCTCTCAGAAATACCAACACAATCTATGTTAATATACTTCTGAAAGCTCTCTATGCACTCTATCTTATCATGCTAAAAAAGATCTTAATAATTACATTTGAAGAGAAAAATTACAATATTTTGTTTACAAGTCTGTTGTAGAGACAATGTGCCATTGGGGTGGTCGGTCAAATATGTAGATCAAAATTATATATGGTACCATATAAAAATTAATATGTAGAGATTTTTTTGCAGATCCTACAAAAAATTTAATAAATAAAAATTAACGAATTTCGAATTCCATCTCCTCCATAATTATCAAATAAACTATTGTCGAAAATTGGTATGAGAGTAGTTTATGGCCTATATTTTAAAAATATTGGCTTACCTTTTTTTTTTGTTTGTAAAAAATATTTTTCGTTTTTGTTTTATTATTTTATTTTAAATCATTTTTTAATATAGTTTTTATAATCAAGCATAGTAAAACTAAACTGATAAAGTGAATGAGTATGTGTTCTAAGCTTTCATTCGATACTATTTTCATGACTGTGGCTAAAAAATTCGTGGACTAGATAGATTTTGAAAATATTTGTGTGTAATTTTAATAAATAAAGATTTATGTTTTTCATTCATGAAAAAAAAAATAAGTTTAACTTTCTTTTTCATTTAGACTAAATTATCTTTGTAAACACCCAAAGTATCAAAACAAAAAGTTATTGAAATTATTATTTTATATAAATTACTAGATTGGTCTAAATAACTCTACAAACCATATTTATTAAAAATAAAATTTGTATTGTTTTGTAGCTTAGAGTTTCCAAAAATATTCACAATATTACTGTGATGACTAGAAAAAAAATAAAAATTGGCAAAAAATCATATTATTTGCAATTTTATTTAAAAAATATAATGTTCATTATTAGTTTTGAAATAAATTGGAATATAATGAATTTGCATAATTTTGACCATAATGTTGTTGAATATTTTCTTGTAAAACATTTAACTTTTGTCTCTTTTGTTGAGCTCTGATTTCATTTAAATTATTCTCTATATTTATCTTATCAATTGGACCATTAGTGAGTTGAATTTTAGCTTTTTTAGTATTAATTGACATATTATCATGTGTTTTAAGATCTAATTTGTTAAATAATCCTTCGACTTGTTGCTGATGAATGATTATACAATAAATTTTTTCCTTTACAAATGAATATAATAATTGAAAATTAGAAAGGGTTGGATCTAGTGTATTGCAAAATTCTTCAAATTCTTTTTTAAATTCTTGATTTTGTGTCAGATGATTTTGTAAACCAAAATCATCAGTAAAAAAATTTTCTAAATCATTTTGTAACTGTTCAGCATAATTAATTTCAATTTGTGAAGGTTCATTTACCCAAGATTTACTAAAAAACACATAATAATAGCTTCTTGCAAATGCCTGGCCATTATCTCCTCCAAGACGACAAATAGATAAAGGTAAATGTAACCATGGTAACATCCAATTTTCAAAATGTTCTAATGCCTTAATTATACCTCTTTCTAAGCTATCATACAATGAACCCCATTCATCTGAATCAAGCAATTCGAGTGCTTCCAATAATTCTTGCCCAAATACTATATCAAAATTTTCTTTTAAATCTCTAAGGAATGATAACCATTCTGTAACTTTGTCTGGCATTTCATGTGCTCTTCTGCCATTTGGAAGGTTTTTAAATCCTGATTCTGTATAAATTCTTGGATGTGGATCTCGACCAATCATAAATTGCATCAATGGTTCATAGAAAATTTCACCCAATCTAACTAAGCAACATATTTGAACATTTAAATTTGTGCTTGTCAACCAACTTAAAAAAAGTTTCCAGTCATTAAGGTATGATGATGGTGTTTTAGGACAATTCTCCATTTTGCTAATGAACCAATTGGCAAATTTTATATGTGTTTCACATCGTTCTAGATATTGCTTAGCAGGCTGTAATTCATATCCCCATCATGATTGTAGTGGTAATTGATATTGGGTGAAATGATATCCAAGAAGAGAATCATATAATTTTCTAATCTTCTCTGATGTTATATTCATTGGTTTATCTTTATCACTTGAATCATAACCATTATGGAGGCTCCATGTTAAATAAAGTAAATTGAATGGATGGGCTACTCTCGAAAAACCAATAGTGTTTTTTCTTTTACCAAATGCTGCCTGCTCAAAATTTGTAAGTACAATATGAATAATATGAAGTCCACATCCAATTCTAACTGCATTACTTGATGACATTCGATTATATTTCAAAACAGCACCATTATGTTTTCCTGACATGTAAGCTGTATTATCAGTAATCCACACTGAACATGCCTTTGGATCAAGCTTCTTCTCTTCAATCAAATTAAGGACATTTGTTGCAATTGTCACACTATCACACTTTGAAATTACCTTTAATTCAATAACTTTTGCTAGAGGAAAGTTTTCTACATAGCTCCAAAATGCAAAAACAATCACCAAATATTTATTTTCGCCATGTGTGGATTCATCAACCATTATACCATAACTATTTACTTCAGAAAGTTGTGTAATGGTTGAATGAACTTCTAAATTGGCTACTTCTTGATGCCAAGTACTTAATGTTGAATGTGATAACCATTTTTTTGGTTTTTCTCCGATTAAGAATTGATATACTAATTGTAGACATTCTACAGTTGAATGCATTGATACTTGTCCAACCTGGGTAATTCTTGTTGCAAGCCAAACCATTTGTGGTGAATATTCATTCTTATTTATTTTAAAGATTTAACTTGATTTTTAAATTCATTTTCAGAAAAATTTCCAGATTTGCGAACAAGAGACCTAATTGTAGAAACTCTTTTTTCAGATTTTGTTTTAAAATGTTGTTTACTGGCACCCAACGATTGTGTTTTTTTAATCAATTTTTCTTTTTCTTTTCCAAACTTCTTGATTTGACTTTTTAGTTCTTTATTTTCTTCTTCCAAATCTTTAATTGTGCTTTTTTTTTTATACAATCCATAATTTAAAAAATCGATTGCTTTTTTTTGTATATGAGGAGAAATAATTTTTTCCTTGATTTCTTCCTTTTGGATATTTCATATTATCAAATAGATCAAGAGCATTTGACTTAGAATCATCAGTCATATTACGTATGTTATTAAATAATGTTTCTTGACAATTTAAAAGAGAAGAAGTATTAGAAGATTGAGCCTCTTTAAAATCAGATATAGCACGTTCAAGAACTGGCAAATTTTTTGGATCGATTTGAGCGATTGTACTATTTATTTTTAAAACCTTTCCCTTTTTTACACATTCTTGAGTTATTTTTTTAATATGCTTTTTTTTTTTTTTTTTTGATAGTGGCATCTTGTAAATAATTCAAAAATAAATTAGAGTGGGATAAATTGATAAAAAAAATTATTCGAATCTTTAAAATTAAGATTGATAACAAAATTCGTAATTTTAAGAAATCCGTAATTTTAAAAAATTCGTGCTATGTTAAATTTTCAAAATTTATCTCCTCCACCAATTTTTTGCCTACAGGTATAAAACTAGTATCGAACGAAAGCTCGAAACTTACACTTTTACTCTATGTTGGCCGATCTTCAAAGTTTTTATAATTATTTTTTTTTCATTTTAGTTTAAAATTTTTTTTACACTTTTTATAAATTCTGTGATTAATAAAAATTATTTGTAAACAAAAAAAATAAAAATATCGCCACATACTTTTTTTATAAATATTATTTGGCACTCACATACAAAATTTTAATATAGGTTTATTTGGTAGTTACGAAGGAGCTAGGATTTGAATTTTGCTTATTTCTTTATATGAAATTCGTCAATTTAATAGGATCTGCAAAAAAATCTCTATATATTAATTTTTATATGGTACCACATATAGTTTTGATTTACATAGTATATCGACCACCCCAATGTGCCATGCATGGTAAGAAATTTATGTTGATCATGCAAGTTTGTACATTTTATTGAATCACATGATAAAATGTATTTTAAACAAATTTATCTTTAATAAAAACATTTTATGTTACCATTGTAGAATATAATTTACTTAAATCAGAATACCTGCAGGTTGAGATTGGAGATTTTTCCAGCTGTTAGCAAAAATGAATTTGTTAGCTCACTTGCATGTATTTTGTATGCATTTTTGCATTGATTTAAACAAAATAAAGATGGGCTTGCTGCCCCACCCATAATAAATGGCACTCTGATTATTTGAAGAAATCAAATATCTTGACAAGGGATCATTGCATCATAATTTTTTCCTGCTATTTTCTTCCATTCTAAAAATTATTATAGTTTTAATGATATAAACATAGATTTTTTAATATGATGACTATTATAATTACCTCTTAAAACTTCTAGTGCAAGTTTTCGTTCATGTTCTTTTTGTTTATATTTTTGAATGGTTCTAATGATGTAAAATGATTTAATATTTACTACATCAACATGATAAAAATGATAAAAAAAGCAATCTTTTATGTTATTTATTATTTACCTACTATACCATTCAAGAAGACAACGATTTAGTAAAGGTACACTTGCAGTTTTTGACATTATTTTTCTTCTTTGCAAAGCCTCTCTCCATTGAAGAAATTTGACCTTAATCAGCTTTAGATTAAATTCATCCTAATAATAATAATATTATTATTTGATCATTTAATAATTATAATAAATAAATATGATATATTACTCACATCAGCAACTTCACTTAATAAAATATAATTTTTATATCTTTCCTTCCATTTTTCAAAAGCTTTCTGTGTTAATGTCTTATTAATATCATCATCAAAATAAGCATACCTTTTAGGTACTGAATTGAGACTAATATAATATTTATCGTGTTAAAATAAGTTAAAAGATCATAAAAAGTAATATATATGAATATGTCATATAAATTAATAAAATAAATAAATAAATAAAAGGATATTTTCCACATTTCAAAATATTTGTCCAACATAATTTGTTGATTATCTTTTGTTAATAATGAATATATGAATTTTGTTCTCCATATTTTATATGATTTAGTTAATAATGCATTTTTTGTTGATTTATTTACAGCAATTGAATGCCAATTATTCATAACATCAAGTAAGAATTCTTTACTGCAATTAAAATGATACTTTTTAGCAAGTCTGACTTGTCTCTTGATTATCTTGGTTCTAAAGAATGATAGTGGTAGTAATATCAATAATAATAAAAATTAATTAATTAGCAATAAAATGAATAGATAAATATTTAAATGAAATAATGCTAACTTTGAATTCCAACTGATAAAATATTGTTTTAAATGTTTTTCATTGTCAAAAATTATTGCTTGACTTTTATGTTTGGAAACTATTTAAAATTTATTCATTTTATGTAGATTTAGTGAACAATAAAAACTTTAGTATTATTATTTTTATTATTATTATATTTATTATATAATAAATACCTTTTTGATTTCTATCTGACCATTTGTTAAAAAAATTGCTAATATAGAATGCATCTGATTCTTTTTTTAGTAAAATTCTTTTTGACTATAGAATTATATAAATATATTTGACTATTATTAGTTGACTTGTGATTTCAAATATTATTAGAATTATATTATAATAAATTACCTGTACACTTTTACATGACTTATGAAATTTTTTAAAAAATTTTTTTAAAAGATTTTTTTGATAAAAATTTATGGATAATCTTAACTGTTGAACTACTTTTGTACGATTTTGACGAACTTGTATTGTATAACTATGTATAGATTAGAGGTTGTATTATAAATAACTTTTAGATTTGATAATAATGATAATTGCAGGAATATTTTTCTGTTGCTATCGTTGTTGTTACCTTTTCCAGTTTCTTAAAATATTTTTTAATTTGACCTTTTCTTTTGGAGAAAATTTTGATAAAATAATTTTATCAGATTGTTTGAAGTCTATACAATCATCATCCAAATTATTTGATTGATAACTCATTGAATCATTTAATATTACATCAAGTTGGTCTGTTGAAGTTGTTAGAGATTCATTCTAAATTTTATTATTCATAAAAGTTACTGACGATTCTAACTGTTAATTGTTTCAATTTTCATAAATATGGAGAAATATTACTTTTGACTTTAACCCGAATTCAATATCACTTGTATTTGTTTTCAATAACTTATCATCATCATCACAATCATTATAATAAGTATTTCTTGATTGCAAATCAGCTTGTGTAATTGAATTAAAGCTCTTAAACAAACAAACAATAAATAAAATAAACAAATAAATAATAAATTTGAATTAAATTAAATTAAATCAAGCACCTTTTCTTTATTTTCAACAGTGCTCAATTCAATCTTCTTGGAATTATCATCATTAAGTGGAATGTGATGATTAGATTCTCCATCGACGTCATTACCATTCTTATTTTTACTGTCGTTATTATTGTTATTATAATTACTACTTTGACTACTTGTAACACTTAAAATCCATTTGTATATATTGCTATCAGTCATGTAACCAAGATTCTTGAAATAAATAGTTTTATGTAAGTTAAAACATTCTAAAACTTAACATAATAATAAAAAAATAATAATAACATAATTAAAAAATTTTGATTTTGAAAGTGTGTATTGTCTCTTTACTTTGACTATATTCTCGAATTTTTGAAACCAAGATTCGCCTGGTTCCATTGATAATTTTAATAAGGATTGATAATATAGCTTATTAGACTTTGGATTAATATTACGTTTTCTAAGTACAATATCATGAGCTCGAAAAATGTTTATGTAAGATGTAGTCGTGATTTTCGAAGAGCAACTGATAAATGTAGCAAAAGTTACAATGCTGGAAAGAATTTCCAAATCTATTAAATTAAATTCCATAATGATAACAATAATTATAGATGCTTATTAAATCTTCATTTATAAAATAATAAACTATAAATTCCAATACCTTGAGCTGTAAAATTATTCCATATTGGTTGTGGTTCATTGTTTGGATTTGTTAATTGTTTAAAAACCGATATACTTTTAAATAGATTTTGATTTTCTGTTTGTTTTTCAAATGGAATAACTTTACTTTTATTGAAGGCACTTTTAAATAATGGTTGTTGCATTACTTTGGGTTTTGTGAAAAGTTTATGCCGACGAATTTATCTTTTCCCCCAAAATTATAAAAGGTCCAATGAGCGAAGGCCCCGGAATAGAATATTACCCTGGTCAATAAAAAGATACTGATACTAATACCTTTATTAACGCCACTTCATGTACATTTATGAAAGGATGGCTTTTCTTTAAGATGATTTTTTTTTATCGGCAAAAGTATTGATCATCCAATGTATAATGGTTTTTCAGGACCATCTAACCGAGTTAGTTCAATGAACATTTTGTTGATTTAATCCAGAAGGATATCTTTTGTGATTATGAAAACAATAATAGACTTTATATGCGTCTGCCTTCAATATTTATAAATGGGGTGTTGAAAGTAGAAGATGAAAAATAGATTAGATAGTATGATATTATCAATTTTTTTATGATTGATTGTCATAATTTTGTTTAAAATGTGCACATGCAATTGGTCAATGCAAACAATGAAAATTTTTTTTTAAATAAATTTACCATTTCGTTTTTTTTTATTTAAATATTGAAAAACATTACTTTCTTTTTTTTTAATTAATTATTATCAATCTGTTTTAATTTAATTAATTAATTTTGATACTATAAATACCTTTGCCAATGATTTTTTTCTTGAATTTAACAAATTTTCTACTTGATTGATAAATATATAGTAGCCAAATTAATTTTGAACTGGTAAGTCAAATGTTGATGTTTTTGAATTGGCAAATCAATTCATTCATTTACTTAGTTTTTTATTAGGTAACAATAAACAAATGGGGTGTGTTTCTAGTAAAAAAGCTACATCATTTCGTGAATTGCCTTCATTTACACCGAAATCTTGTCTAAACTGTAAACAACCATACGCTCATCGAAGATGGTGTAAACCATGTGTAATTAAAAGATTTAAATCAGATTTTGCAAACTGGACAAGTGGGAATCTTGAATTGGACAATTACATTAGATACACTCAATTAAATATAACAAATTCTTCGAGTTTCTTGGAATGGATACCTTATGATAAGTTCGATGACGTCAGGGAAATGTATAAGGGCGGCTTCGGAATTGTTTGTAGTGCTATTTGGGATCTTGGTCCTAAGTTATTTTGGGATGATGGTGCTGAAAATTGGGTTCGAGAAGGTGAAAAACCGATTGCTCTAAAACGTTTACAAAATTCTCGTAATGCTGATCCTGAATTTTGGAAAGAGGTATGTTACACATCTTTGAACCATTTCTTTTGTCATGTGATATATATATAATTACTAAGAATATTATTCATCTAATTCGATAATTCGATTTGAAAGCTTCAAAGAAACAGGTTACAAAGTGACTATGTTTTACGTTGTTATGGCTTTACTAGGGATCCCATTTCAAAAGATTATTTCATGATAACAGAATTGGTGGATGGAGATCTTAGGCATTACCTGAGAATGAACTATAAAGATATTTCTTGGGAAAAAAAATTGGGCATCGTTTACAACATTGCACATGGTCTTATGGAAATTCATAATGCAAATTTGCTTCATAAAAATTTTCATAGTGGTAATATTTTGAGACATTTTAACGGCTCACAAAGTTTAACTTTTATATCAGATTTAGGTCAATATTATCCTGCAGATAACCCAAATATAGACGAAAATTATGCTTATGGCATACTACCTTATGTTGCTCCCGAAATTCTTTGTGGCGAAGATTACACTGAAGCTTCTGATGTCTATAGCTTTGGTATAGTGATGTGGGAAGTAGCCTCTTCTCAAAAACCATTCTTCGACCGTATTCATGATGAACAGCTTGCTCGAGAAATTTGTGACGGCCTACGTCCACCGATAATCCTGGAAATCCCGCAGTGTTATATTGAGCTTATGAATAAGTGTTGGGATGCTGATTCAAAGTTACGCCCTAACATCAGAGAGATAGAAAAAATATTAATGTCTTGGGGATGGCATATGGGTGTTTCTCAAAAGCACATTGTATCAAATCAATTTTTTGTTGCTGAAAAAGTAAGGCTTCAATTATTAAAATCAGATGATTCAAATTTAAAACCATTCACCACACCACATCCACAAGCAATTTATAAAAGCCATCTATTGGATTTTGAAAATTTACCAACTCCTCGTAATTTAAATGATCTTAAAGAGTCTGATCAAGAACATTCTTTTTACAATGATAACAGCAACGACAACAACGACATTAATAACTAACAAAACATTTTGTTTATTTAAAAACTTTTATATAGAAAACATTTATTTAATATTTATTTTTTTTAAAAAATCATGACAGTTTTTTATTATGAACATTTCGGAGTCTCATACATTAATTATTATCAATCACACACACCTTTCCATAAAAAAAAATCAGCGACATATAGAAATTTATTTATTGTTTCTTATTAGAAATAAAAAAAGACCCCGAATTTTACATACGAGTCAACGTTATTAATTAAACTGCTCTGATGTACGGCCAGAACTCGTTAAGACGATGCTTTGATAAAACAAATATACGCGATAAATCGATGTTTTTAATTATCTGCTTATATATTAAAGATTATCTCTGTAAGCCGGCCGGCCGATTTATTAAACCGATTTTTTGTGAAACATTGGCTTCGGTTTAACGAGTTCGACTGCCTGTATACATTCAATTAAAATTTTCACGTAAAAAGAAAAAGACATAAATATTACCTAAGCAGCAAAATTTTTGTAAATAAATTATTATTATTTTGTAGTCTTTGCTAAGTAGCGGTGGTTGTAGTAGTTGTCTTATTTTCGATTTTCGACTTTTATTTTTTTCTTGTATATAAAAAAAATAATTCATTTATCTTTAATTAAAAAGGATTTTAAAGCTTATATGCAATATTCCTCAGTGATGATGAGAACTTGCAAACTGATGTCTTTAAAAACCACTAGTAAATCACTGCGCCCAAGTCAACGAGTTACCGTTAATTCAAATGGTATATGAAAGAGTTCTAGAGCAGATGTGGTTTTATCTTCGGATACATGTTCTCTCTCTGAAGTGAAGATGCAAGCTTCGACGACTTCTTTTAAAAACTTCCAGCCGAGAAAAATAAGACTTCACCTTAATTCGGAGGATTAAAATAGATTGGAACTGCTCGCCGGGCATACAACAGACCGATGTTTAGCACTATAAAAAAATGAAAATTTGATCCATTTTAGATGAATCCTTGATATCCCTGCTAGCATTAGAGAGAAATTCAAATTTAATTGTCATTAGATCGACAGGTTGGGAAAAAATAAAGGCGAATTTTCATTTTCATTTCTCAGAGGTATTAATCAAATCTTGAAATTAAGGCTGATAACCAAGGTTCTAAATTTTCGGTGGTTGGAGAAAATAGAGGTGCTGGCATTATTTCTCTTGATCTAGAGTGAGGTCAAAGCTTTCATGACTGGATATAACCCAAGTGGCGAGGTTATAGAATGGGGGAACAGGACACAAGCAAGCAGATCATATCGCTTATAATGAAATACAAAATGAAAGTATCGAACGAAAGCTTGAAACTTACACTTTTACTCTATTTTGGCCGATCTTCAAAGTTTTATAATTATTTTTTTTCATTTTAGTTTAAAATTTTTTTTACACTTTTTATAAATTCTGTGATTAATAAAAATTATTTGTAAACAAAAAAAATAAAAATATCGCCACATACTTTTTTTATAAATATTATTTGGCACTCACATACAAAATTTTAATATAGGTTTATTTGGTAGTTACGAAGGAGCTAGGATTTGAATTTTGCTTATTTCTTTATATGAAATTCGTCAATTTAATAGGATCTGCAAAAAAATCTCTATATATTAATTTTTATATGGTACCACATATAGTTTTGATTTACATAGTATATCGACCACCCCAATGAACCATCATTGTAAGCTGTATTATCAGTAATCCACACTGAACATGCCTTTGGATCAAGCTTCTTCTCTTCAATCAAATTAAGGACATTTGTTGCAATTGTCACACTATCATGCTTTGAAATTACCTTTAATTCAATAACTTTTGCTAGAGGAAAGTTTTCTACATAGCTCCAAAATGCAAAAACAATCACCAAATATTTATTTTCACCACATGTGGATTCATCAACCATTATACCATAACTATTTACTTCAGAAAGTTGTGTAATGGTTGAATGAACTTCTAAATTGGCTACTTCTTGATGCCAAGTACTTAATGTTGAATGTGATAACCATTTTTTTGGTTTTTCTCCGATTAAGAATTGATATACTAATCATAGACATTCTACAGTTGAATGCATTGATACTTGTCCAACCTGGGTAATTCTTGTTGCAAGCCAAACTATTTGTGGCGAATATTCATTCTTATTTATTTTAAAGAGAGATTTAACTTGATTTTTAAATTCATTTTCAGAAAAATTTCCAGATTTGCGAACAAGAGACCTAATTGTAGAAACTCTTTTTTCAGATTTTGTTTTAAAATGTTGTTTACTGGCACCCAACGATTGTGTTTTTTTAATCAATTTTTCTTTTTCTTTTCCAAACTTCTTGATTTGACTTTTTAGTTCTTTATTTTCTTCTTCCAAATCTTTAATTGTGCTTTTTTTTTTATACAATCCATAATTTAAAAAATCGATTGCTTCTTTTTGTATAT